CAGGCACTTCCCCTTTCCCGTGTTCATGGAGGAGCCAGGCCGGGCTGACTCAGAACTGGAGCGCGGCAGCCATCCTCCCACCCGGAGCCCGGCCGCCGGCCGGAGGCTGATTTCTCCAAGAGTCCCAGTTGTGCATTATCTTTTAAAATTAAACTAAAATAAAAAAACCCCAAACATGTAAATCAGCTTGCAGAGAATATAAGCATAACTAAAAAATGAAATAATGCCCCATTAAATGTCCAGCATTAAAGGGCTTTGCACAGGAAATAGAAAAGAAGATGCTAATCCATGTTATATTTTCAAATACATAGCATTGGATGTGAGGGCGATCTGGCTGCGACATCTGTCACCCCATTGATCGCCAGGGTTGATTCGGCCCGCGCCTGGGCGGGATGGACCCGGCGATCCCCCGACCCCGGCCTGGGGCCTGGAGTGAAACTTCCCTGGGCTCCTCTGTCGCCCACACGTCACTCCGCATCTCTCCCTGGCTCTCCCCTGCTCGCCCATCTCACCCACGATCTCTGATCTCTCCCTCTCGGCTCTCTTGCTTGCTTCGTTCCTTCTCCTCTCAGAATGCGCACCCCCTTCCCCTTTCCCAAGCCTCACCTCTGCGTGATCCCCTCACCCCACGTGACCCGCCTCGGCCTCCAAGCCCGACCTGGCCCTGGACGGCCTCTGGTCCCCAGTGGAGCCCCGCTGCTTTCATCAGGGTCTCCCATTCCGGCTGGAGATCCCGAACGTGGGCATCTTTTCCAGAGCAGCTGCTTCCCCTCCCTCCCACCTCTAACAGCAGATGGGGAAACTGAGGCAGTGACTATGCAGTCAAGGTCCCAGGCAGCACGCGGCGGGGCGGACCGCGCGCATTTACACCGCATGCCTGAGTTTCCAGACTGAACCTCTCTTGGTTGACTCACGTTCGAGTCCTGTGGCCCCGGCTGGGTACATTCCGGCTGCCCAGGGCCGAGGCCTCCACAGCATACGGAGGGCGCTGTGCTTCCGCCCTGCCAGGCGCTTCACCTGCATGGCCAAGCTCATCTATGCGCAGGACCGTGTGAGGGAGGCAATGCTTATCTTCCTCCTATAGACAAGGAGACTGAGGCTCCGGGAGGGGCTCCAGGGACTTGCCCACAAGCAGCTGTAAGCTGCCGAGCACCAAGCGAACAGCAGTGCTCTGAGCATCTGTGAGGCAGCTGCTGACGGAAGGATCCTTTCTCCTCAGCCCCCGCTCCTGTCTGTCTCTGTGCCCCGGGGACACGGGGCTCATTTCCTAGGAAGAAGCTCTAATGGTCCTGTCCTAGTTCAGTGGCTTGGCTTCGCAGCCTGCACCTCCTAATGTCGCCCCATCGAGCTAGATAGTGCCAGCCTCCGTCCCTGGGGTGTCCTCGCCAGGGCACATCCTGGCGGCAAAACCTCCCCTGGTAGCCAGAGGCACCCGGCTGGGCCGGGCCTGCCCTGCCGGTGGCTGAGGGGAACCAGCCAGCGCCTCACCCTGTCATTAGGAAAAGTTTAGCCTCGGGCAGACGTGCTGACACACTGCTGGAAGCCGGAAGCCGGCTCAGAAGGAAAAACTGATCCTTGGCGTGTGGAGGAGCAGAGCCCCTGTGCTCTGTGCACCCACCGTTTGGAGCCACACAAGCCCTGGGCCAGACAGGCAGGAGGGTTAAGATGCCGTGTTTCATACGCAGGTGTTCAGCCAACACCTGGTGGCGGCTCATGTAAGTGGCCTTTGTGTTTTCAGCACCTGGCATGCCTGGATGTCCCTGCTCTGGCTGCGGCATGGCGGGCCAAAGGCTCCTCTTCTTCGCTGCTGTTGCCCTGCAGCTCCTGGGAGGGGCTGGGGGTTCCCAGCAGGCCCTCCGGAACCGGGGGGCTGCAGCAGCCTGTCGCCTCGATACCAAGGAAAGTGAGTCCTGGGGAGCCCTGCTGAGTGGGGATAGGCTGGACACCTGGATCTGCTCCCTCCTGGGCTCCCTCCTGGTGGGACTCAGCGGGGTCTTCCCACTGCTGGTCATTCCCCTGGAGATGGGGGCCTCGCTGCGCTCAGAAGGTGGGTGACCCTCCCCTGGCGCCCCGGGGCAGCCAGCAGCGTGGGAAACATGCTGCTCTTCCCTGGAGAGCTGGGTCTCGCGTCCTGGGTTCCAGTGTGTCCGAGGTGGAGGGCGAGGACAGAACACAATCTCTCAGCTTGGTCCTGTGAGACCAGGGCGCACCATGCTCATCTGTTCATTCATTTACGCGTCCTTTTATTCTGAAAGAATAACTTAGCAAACAGTCACCAAGAAGCGATGTAGATAGTGGTGAGAAATATGGATGTCAGCCCGCCCTGGTTCCAGTCTCAGCTCTGCCACTTACCAGCTGGGGACCACCGGGCAAGTCACTTCACTTCCCTCCGCCTCCGGCTCCCAGCCTTAAAGATGGGATAACCATGGTGTCTACCTCATAGGTGCTATTGTGACAATTGAATGAGCTCATACCAGTAAGGCACCGCCTGGTGCGGGGAGAAGGCTGCGTGTGTGCGAGCCCCGTGCTGGGTGGGCCGTAGCCAGCAAAGCACTGACTCTCCCTGCAGTCTCTGCTCATCATGCAAAAGAGCCCTCAGACTGTAAGCCCCAGGGTCAGGCTTACCCAGGAACATGAGAGAGGTGGGTCGCAGGCCTGCCTCTGGGGAGGGGTCTGGAAGGTGGCACAGGCACGGGTGGAGGCTTTCCTTGGTTACCCTTTCGTATGGTGTGCATGTGCTGTCCGTCCACCTGGCATGTTGTAGTGAAAAGCCCACGAGATCAGGTGGGGAGGTGCCAGGAATCCGGATGCCTTGTGCCCGCACCCCAGAGTATGACACAGTCATTCTGGACGAGGGCCCCAGGCGCTGTGCTCCCCTGTCCATTCTGTCCCCGGGCTGAAGGCTGCTGCCACGGCTGTGAGTGGAGCCCTCCTGGAGCCCTGCCGTCACGCCTGTTCCTCAGCTCAGTCCCTCTCATGGCATCCCTGCGACCTGCGAGGTCAGGGTCGGGAGGACTTGGATTATTAGTTCCATTTTACAACTGGGGAAGCACGGGCACAGAGAGGGTCTTTGCCTCGCCTGAGGTCACACAGCCTAGAAGCAGCAGCTTCCCCTGGGATAGTTGCTACCCCTCCCCCAAGGTGCCTCTGCCCTCTGGGCCTCAATTTCTTTCAAACCAAGAGTATGGACACGGCCCCCTCAGGCACTTCCAGCTCTGGACGCTGCACATCGGCGAAAGTCCCCACATCTCTGTCACTTTTCTGAGAGTAACAGTGGCCGAGAAAAGAAAATTCCCGTTGAATGAGTGCTGGCTGTGTGCATTGTTACTGAGTTCCCACAGGATCCCTGTCGGGTACACTTGCCCCCAGTTTACAGAAGGGGAAACTGAGTCCCGGGGGCAGCCTGCCAAGGGCACCAGCTGGTGGGTTGAAGAGCTGAGCCCTTAACCAAGAGGCAGTGGCTCTACAGTCCATCGTCAGGTTGGGGTGTGTTCCCACCGAGCACCCAGCCCAGGAAGGGCGGTGCGCCACGTCCAGCCTTCTGGAGGCTGACGTTCTGGTTGGGGCAACACAGAGAGCCTAGTCATCTGGGTGGGCAGAGGCCGGGCCAGGGCCCCAGGTGGGTCAGCCCCCAGGCCCCGCGTCTCTGCCTTGCAGCGGGGGCCCGGCGCCTGAAGCAGCTGCTCAGCTTCGCCCTGGGGGGCCTCTTGGGCAATGTGTTTCTCCACCTGCTGCCTGAGGCCTGGGCCTACACTTGCAGCTCCAGCCTTGGTGAGTGCGGGCACAGCCTGGGGGCAGGCAGGTGGGGGTGGGAGGGGAGCTGGTACCCCTGCCCAGGGATGGCCTAGGCCCTGCCTGCTCTGCCAGAATGGCTGGCAGAGGGACTCTGAGTATCAGGCTGGGAACTTGCCCTGGCCTCTGTGGGAGTCCCTGGGACCCCGCTGCCCCACCAGCCAATCCTGGCCCCCTGCCTCTGTCCCTACCCTGGACTAGGTCCCATTCCAAATGGCCCTCCTTCTCTGGCCTTGGCTTGGCCTGGCATGTCAGTGCTGCCCCCTGCAGGTGGTGAGAGGCAGAGTCTGCAGCAGCAGCAGCAACTGGGGCTGTGGGTCATTGCTGGCTTCCTGACCTTCCTGGCTTTGGAAAAGATGTTCCTGGACAGAAAGGAGCAGGAGGAGACCAACCAGGTGAGCCCCAAACCCCAGGACCTGGGCACCTCAGTCTGTTCTGTGGTGGTTCCAGGGCCTGGAGGCCCAGGTTCTGAGTTGAACCCTGAAAAGAAGGTCTCTTGGCCTTTTCTTGGGACCTCGGGGGGCTGGGCAGCTTGTTTGGGGATCAGGGGAATGACAGCATCAGCCCCTGCCATGGCTTGTTCTCCGACTGATAGCGACGGCAGTGCAGGAGGCTGACAGTCTATTCAGTTTGAGGGCACCTGGCGGATCAAGCAGCAGAGAAGTCTAGACAGAGAAAAGGGGTGTTCCCTGTCTCTGTTTCTCCATCTCTCGCTCCCCTTCTGTGTCCACCCTGGCCAAGCGGGGGGCGGGGGGAGGGCATCTAATGGCACCTTCTCCCTCCTTCTCCTGGACCTAGGCCCCCCGCAAAGACCCCGCTGCTGCTGCCGCCGTGCTCAGTGGAGGCCGCTATGTGGCCCCGCCGGCTGCAGAGCCCGGCCTGAGCGCCGTGGTCCAGAGCATCAAAGTGAGTGGCCCACTCAGGGCCCCCTCCTCCTGCAGCCGCCCCCTCCTCCTGCAGCCGCCTCAGCCCTGCCTGCCCTGTTCAGCTGGCTTTCTCTCCCCTCACCCAGGTCAGTGGCTATCTCAACCTGCTGGCCAACACCATCGACAACTTCACTCATGGGCTGGCTGTGGCTGCCAGCTTCCTGGTGAGCAAGAAGGTGAGTGGGGATTGGGGCAGGTGGTGCCCAGGCAATTCCAGTGGGAATGATGGTGCTTGCGTTGACCAGTTGGCTCTGCCTCTAAAATAGGTCTCCAGTCCATCACTTCTTGCTCCCTGCATCAGCAACACCCTCATCTGAGCCCCAGTCCTCCCTGTCGCTCTCCTGGACACGGCCTTCTTTGGTCCCGAGACACTGGTCTGTTCTCCTGGCTGCAGACACTCCTTTTGGGGATCCATGCCTCTGCCTGCCTGCTTCCAGATGCTCCCCCACCTTCCCCTGCCCTCTGTCTGCGACTGGTGAACACCACGCTTTCCCCTCCTTCATGGCCTCCACCTCACACTGCTCCATCCG